GCCTTTTAACTCAGAAAAGAATCGGTTTGCAGCCTTTGTCCAATTAATGCAAAGTATCTGGTTACTGGTATGTAGCGTAATGCACCACAGAGCACACTGTCCTCCTCAGAGCTGGCCAACTCCATGATGCCCCCTGAATGTGTGTGTGTATGTGTGTGTGTGTGTGTGTGTGTGTGTGTGTGTGAGAGAGAGAGAGAGAGAGAGAGAGAGAGAGAGAGAGAGAGAGAGAGAGAGAGAGAGAAAGAGAGAGAGAGAGAATGGACACTTTTGAATTGAGACACAGTTGAAGATTGTTAATGTGTGCTGGTAATGACGAGAAATCTAAAAGGAAATTGGGAAAACTGCATGTCATGCCCTCAAAAAAAAAAAAAAAACCAAACCAGAAACACTGTTGGAGAATTAAAATTAAACCTCACGAGAGTCTGTGGGTATGGAAAGTCACCAGCTAGCTAATATTAACATAGCTTGCAACAGAGAACTGCTGCTCGAAATAGGACAGTCAGTCACATCTCTATCACCGGGCTGTTTACATTCTGTGGGCCAGCCCTGAGCTTCTTCCTGGCTCCAGCCCCAGGATCTGGCCCCTGGGCATTGCATTTCTGGAGGCTTCTAGATAATAGACCACACTGGCTGTCTACTTTCTCCAGGAACTCTTTCACCCAAAGACGGAGCTAGAAGAACAACGCAAAGCCTGTTTTGTTTGTGGTGCCAGTGTTGGAGCTTCAAACAACTGCTAGGCATCAGAGGCCAAGTTTCTCAGTTGCATTTGGTTGCTGGCAGGGAGGGGCAGACAAGGACCCTCCGGCTTCCTTCGCTATGGAGAATTTATTGCCTTCATCTAGATTCTCTTACTTCAAAAAGTACCCTCTCCACTCAATTAGGAAGTATTTATCAACGTTAAGAAACCAAAGAGACGAAGAACAGGTATTATTTTGTTTGTATTAACTTTAAAAACGACTGGTGCTAATTTCTGGGTGTGGCTTTTTGATGCCTTGGAAATGTGTCTGGCTTTTTGATGCTGTGGAAATGTGTCTCTGCTGGTTTACATGTTTTCATAGGCACAGGTCGGATACAGCTTTTAGTTATTCACACTTGCCAATCAGAGGAGTAAGCAGGTTTGGGAGGGTTTACTTGACTGGGAACATTTGGATCCTGAGATGAAGCAAATGTTCAGTGGGGAAAACACATACCTTGCTTTCTTTTGTTATTATTCTTTGATGCTTTGGCAAAGACAATTCTTGAAACTATAGCTCAGTAGATAAAATAGCATACCCTAGAAATACACTTGTTTTCCTGCATATTTCTGTGATTATGTTAATGTCACCAGGGTTTGCAGAATGATGAACATTTCCATGCGCCCATCATCAGATCATTAATGGGCTGACGAGATCATTTAGATATAACAGGTAATTTCTCATATGTGGTGGTTAGGGAATAGAGCACAATAATTCTCAGTCCTCTCAGTCAGTCAAAGCTGCAGTTTCCCACAGCATGTGGGTGTATAAGCATTTAAAAAACCTGTTATAAATGTCAGGTTATTTTCATTTAAAAACATGTGTGTTCGTTATGCTGTTTACACTATACATATCTAAAAACTGCTTCTGTAATTGTACTGTATTGTTAGAAGAAATAACAATGTGTGGCACATTTAAATCCAGTAGTTTATTTAGAAGCATGGCAATGAATACAGTGGGGGAAGATGGGGGAAATTATTAAAAGGACAGTTCTGTCAGCACATTGAAGATGACCAGTCGTAAGCCTTTGTGCTCTGTGCTTTAACTAGAATGGCAGAACTAGAGAGGAGACTGCCAGTGTCTTTCTCGCTTGTGTTTTCCTCTGTGGTAGGAGATGACCCAGTTAGTGGTTTGCTTCCTGGAAACGGAAGCAGAGGGACAGCAGAAGAAAACCCTCTAGTGACCCCTTTCCCCAAAGCTCAAGCCTTGGGGACAGATTATGATTTGTGAAAATACTGCTTTCAGGCTCCGGCTTACATGATTGTAACAAATGCTAGAGATTCAGGCTCCCTGCATTAAGGGAGCTCGGCTAGCCCCATTTACCTGCCACTCAGGTGTACTTACTGCCACACTCAACCAAAACCATTTCTATGTTCCTCTCAGCGGGCAATGGCTTTGAAGTGGAAAGTTGGAGGTGGTACGCAGAGACGCAGAGACATGGCTGCCCCAGGAGTGATGTCCTAGGCTTCTTCCATGGGGAAGGAGGGAAGAGTGGTTTAAGGAATGGGCTGACATTGGTGGGAGGGGGTGTGTGTGCCGACACCGGTAGGGTGGCGAGGCGTTGATTTCTCCCCCTTCTGCGTATTGTGTATGTAGAGAGGTGGCTATGTTGCTTAAATGCTCCCGTGGACTTTCTTTTTTAAGCTTATTTTATTGTTTACAACTACTTATTATGAAGTTATTTTTTCTATGTGCTGTGTGTATGTGTGTGTGTGAAAAGAGTGTGTGATGTATGCACAAATATGCACATGCATGTGCTGTGTGTGGGTGGCTATGGGATGGCCATGGAAGCTAGAGGCTGAGAGCAGTATGTCTTTCCTTAGTTTCCTCTATGTTATTATTACTACTATTATTATTGTTGTTGTTGTTGTGTGTTGTTCTTTCCTGAGGTAGTCTCGCTGAAGCTAAAGCTGGCTGTTTGGACTAGCCAGCAAGCCCTCAGGTTGCCTCTCTCTGCTTCCTGGTGCTGGCTTTATAGGTGTGTTGCAGTACAGATTCTCACATGGGTTCTGGGAATCAGAATTCAGCTCCCCAAACGTTGTGCAGCAAGTGCATTTCCCACTAAGCCATCTCCCCAGCCCTAGCTTTTTGGCATTTTGGCATTTTGAGATATAGTCTCATATAGCCCAGGTTGGCCAAGACTGTCTTTGAATGCCTCCTGATTTACTTCCCAAGTGCTGGGATTACTGGCATGTACCACCACACCCAGCTGCTGAAAGTTTATTTTGAAAGTGCTACAAAATTGTGACCTCAGAAGACCATGAGGACCCAGTATGCAGTCATAACTCTGACTGTAATTACTATGTATATGATTAACTACTATTTTTCTGTATATATTATTTAAATCACCCATTAGCAAATTTGTTTAGGAAAACAATCTTATCCTTACTATAAGTGAAAAAAATCAATGACATTTGCTGTAACTAGAAGACTAAATACATTCAAAGCAAATTCTTTAGACAGACAGTGTTACCTGTGCAGTGGCATGGACACACCTGTACTGCCTGCTGTTGGAAAGCTTAAGCAGGAGGATTGTGAACTGGAGTCCACACTGGGCTACATAGTGAAAAAACAAAAAACAAAACTTTGAAACAGCCTTCTAAGCCTGAAACCTGCTTTTTAAAAAGGAAAACTGGCTTACGAGAGAGGTGTTTGGGGCTAGAAGTGTGACTCAGTGGTGACACTTAGCATGCACAAGGTCCTAGGGTTGACACTTCCCTACCATCAAAGGAAAAGTGTTTAGAGCCTCCTTTGAGATTGACTGAGATGGTCTCCTGAATGAAGATGGGGGAAATGAAAAGGTTAGACAACTCTCTCAATTCCAGATGATTCACTGTTATTGAATGTCACGTCTGCATGCCAATGTCTTCACTCTTAAGTGCCAGCAGGGGTGTGGTATCCCAGACATACCATCTGCTTCCACTCCTCTGTGCATTCAAATGCAGTCTTCTCTCTAGCTTAGAGTTCCTCTTCTACTTATTACTGGAGATGCCCTCTGAGTCCTAGACTCAGGTCGCATGAACTAAGAGGAGCAATGTTCTCTTTTTCTGCTGGGAGATGCACACAGCTCTCCCTTTCCTAAGATAGTCTGTTTACTTTGATTATGAGATGTTGCTACTATATTCAGTGTGGTAATTATTTGCTTATATGTCAATATACATATGAATATGTGACCCTGCCTCATAAGCTGTTTACTCCCCCAGGCTCATTGCAACATGACAAAAGCTGGTTAAGAGACACCTTTACTGTAGACAGATGGCACAGATGTCTGTGACAGACATCACTTTTATCCCTGTCTTAAGTAGATCAGAGAAGCCCCCAGGTCATGGTCATTGTTATTTGTACCCACAGATGCTTTGAAATGTCTCCTTGATGTTCTTCCCCTTGTACCTGGTGTTATAGAGACAGGATTTCACACAGGGCTTGGTAAGCTATTCCTTGGCTTCTGCCTGGAGTGGCCTATGGGGGAATCTAGAGCTCTGCACTGCTTGCTTTTAAGGGTGGCAGGGAGCATGGTGGTGTGCAGGCAGGTATGGTGCTGGCTACATCTTGATCAGAAGGCAACAGACGTGGACTGAGACACTGGGTGTGACTTGAGAATATATGAGACCTCAAAGCCCGCCCCCACAGTGACAGACTTCCTCAAATAAGGCCATATCTAGTTCAACAATGCTACACCTCATAATAGTGCCATTTCCTATGAGTTTATGGGGGCCAATTATATCCAAACTATCACACTGGATAATATAACAATGGCCATCGACAAACTAGAAGCTAAGAACCACATAGCTATTCAGTCCATAAAACCTAATCCTTTAGCAGCCCCATCCTGGTACTGAAGTCCTAGAAGGTTCCTAGAGAGTCAGTCATTTTCAGTCCTTGTTGGGAGACTGAAGAGTCCAGCGTTTGATGGCAACAGCAGTAATAGGTGGGCATGCCAGCAAGAAGCAGAGGCAGACAGTCAAGCAGCACTGCTTGTCCTCAGATGTCTGTATTCATGGCCACCAGGAAGTTTTCAAGGTGGTCATTAACATGCTAGCCAATTTTCAAATAATTATTAAATTTGCCACAATCCTCCTACCATCATCTCCTCATTGGATTATTGCAATAATAGCCTTCCAGTTTGTGCCCCATATCCACTCTTACTACTGTAATCTTCATTCTTCATAGCATTCAGAATTTTTTCCCTATGAAGTCTTACTTCGCCTCAATGAAGGAACATGATTCTTTACACTTGTTGTTTCAGCACCAGTCCCAAACACATACTTGGCACAAATGAGACACATTTATGTAGCTGAATGAATGAAGGGTACTTCACCACTATTGGAGAAGTTGTGGGGCCAGGTACTTCACAGGGGCAGGATGCTGTCATTCAGAGCAAATGATGGGGACAATGATGACACAAGGCGAGGCAGAGAAGAGCCTGCCTTAGAGAGTTGGCCTTCAACTTATGCTTCCCAAGCAGCCTCATCAACTTGCATCATCTCTCCTTCTACCGATCCCTGGCAAAGGGAAGATAAGATGAGGGAGCAGAAAACACAGGTTGACTTATTTAACGGACTGGAATTTGAGATGGTCAGGGCTAACAGACCCTTGCTCTCTCTTAGATGGATTTTCCCGTCCCTCCTGCCCAGCTCCCAAATCATGACATGAGGACTTGTTAATTCTGAAAGCTTGACTGATAGCTTAGGTTTGTTTCTAACTAGCTCTTATATGTTAACCCATTTGTCTGCCTCGTGACTGTATTAGCTTTATTTTGTAGTGCCCTGCTGCTGCTTCTGTGTCTCCTTTTGTCTTCGCCTTCTTCTTCCCAGCATTCTCTCTGACCGGAAACTCCTGCCTAGCTATTAAACCAAACAGAGAGACACATATTCACAGTGTGCAAAAAGATAATTCCACAGCATTTCCCCCTTTTGTCTATATAAAAAGGAGACATTTTAACTCTAACAAAATAAACTATAAACAGTAAGAACAATTATCAGGTAAGAATTATATTTACAATATCCAGTCCATTTATATTAGGCATATTTGGAGAAAACACTCCATTATTTATTCTAGTTTGATGAGTCCAAAGCTCTGTACCTTATAGATGAAGTTTCTGTTCTGCATGGTCCCAACAGTCATTTAGTCCCAAGTAAACACACAGAGGCTAATATTAATTATAATTGGTTTGGTTGATAGCTTAGGCTTCTTATTGGCTAGCTTTCTCTTAATTATTAACCCATTTGTATTAATCTAAGTATTCCACACGGTCTTGGCTTACCAGAGAATGCCCAGGCATTCGACCTTCCTGGTGGGTACATGGTGACTCTCTGGCAGCTCATCTCTGCCTTCCTCTCCCCAAACTTCTCCTCGTCTCATTGCCCCATCTATACTCTCTGCCTGGCACTGGCCAATCAGAGTTTTAGTCATTAACCAATAAGAGAAACATATATTAACAGCATACAGAAGGGCATCCCCCATCAGTACCCAATTTACCTTCTAAGGAAAACTGCAACTATAACTATTTAGTCTTCAATTCCATCAAAGACTCCAGAAGGATCTAATATTATCTGAGTAAACAGGAAGTGCAGAGCAAACAACTTCTAACTTGAACTTGAACTTGAAAAAGTTTGGCTCTTATCTCTGACCTAAATAACACTTTAAAACCAGAGGGCACTCTAATTCCCCTTCTCAAATAAATCCATGTTGAGGCTCAGTATTCTGGATAAGGTTTAGGGAGTTGCTGATACAGTCTTGGCCTCCCTAGGTAAAATGACACACATTCCAATATGGCATGTTCTAAGAAATGTGAAGAGTTTTAGCTCCTTAGGGTAAATGGTTAGCATGAGATTACAGCAAAGTTTTTCAAAGTTGTGGGGTTTTGTTTTTATTTCATGATGGGGCTGGTGAGATGGTTTAACTGGTGAAAGCACTTGCAGCCAAGCCTGGTGACCTGAGTTCGATCCCTGAGACTCACATGATAGAAGAAAAGAATTGAGGCTTGTGTATGTACACATATACATATATACATGCATATACAATTACATTTACACATACACAAACACTCAAAATAAGTGAGAATGTGAAAAGGAAGTCATGAGAGCTGGAAGTGCAGTGGCAGAGTATTCACTTAGCTCCACAAAGCTCTGGGATATGTCTGCTATGTGTGTGATCATGCTTCTCTGCAGGCGTGTGTGTGTGTGCATGTGTGAGTGCAAGTATGTGTGTGTATGTGCATGCATGTAAGTGTGAGTGTGTATGCATGCAGGCATGTGGATGTATATGCATTCAGGGGTGTGTGTGTGTGTGAGTGAGTGCATGTATTATGAAATACTGGAATGTTGTTCATAGTTAAGTGACATCTGATGGAGCTAGAAAGTGGCCAGCATCCTTGTGGTCGGTTTGAGAAGAGCATGATTTAGTGACTTGGTTGTAGGAGTAAAAGATTATCTGTGTGGAATATAAAATAGAAGGCAGAGATTTTATACCACTCTTGTGTAGGAATTTGTGTAAATCTATGTAGGTAGCATAGAACTGAAATGCTGTGATAAGACAAAGCTGCACTTTAATATTTCTGTCTATTAAATATGACATTAAAAGTGGAACCATTTTATCATGGCAATTACACAGTTCCTCTAACTGATGGGAGGGAGAGAATGCTGTATTTGTAGACAAGGAAAAAAAGGTTACAACATCCTGATAGCCTATAATTGAGAGGGTGCAGAAAGATTAATGGCTTCTGAGTCACCATCCCCCAGCTTATAATCTGCCTTCCTCACACACCTATCCTAGGGAAGCGGCACCATTCATCCATCCTGTTATTCGGCTAGGCACTTTATGTTTCCTCAGTCAGCATCTACACTGTCACCATGTCCTTTCAAGCTTCTATTTGGCTGCCAGTCTTCTCTCTTCCAGAACCTTAGCCCACGGGCCATCATTACTTCTTGTCTGAGACATAGAAGAGCCTCCTGAGTTTCCACTGGAGACAGACTCTTTCAAAGACAGACCTCCCAGGCCCTTGTTTGTGATCTTTCAATGGCTTTCACTTGCTTTGGGAATAAGGAAGGAGCTCCCTGTCACCCTGTCACAAAGGGCTTTATTTGGCTTGGCACTGATGTCCTTTCTCACTACATGTTGACTTTGCCTCCCTCTGTACCTATAGTGCTCCCATCTTCTTAACCCATTTCCTTCTTACTTCCTGGCCAGGGTCGTCCCTCCACTTTTTTTTCCTGAGACAGGGTTTCTCTGTGGCTTTGGAGGCTGTCCTGGAACTAGCTCTTGTAGACCAGGCTGGCATCAAACTCACAGAGTGCTGGGATTAAAGGTGTGCATCACCAACGCCCTGCTTTTTTTCCTACTTGTTACCTCACTATCCTCCTCTAGTTAACAACTACTCTCTCTCCAAATCATTACCCATTAACTCCCCCAGGACAAGCAGCTTTCCTTGCTGAGCAAGTGCTCTTACCCTGAGCTGTATCTCCAGGCCCCAGGCAGGTTTCCCACCTCAGTCCTATGTCTAATAAATGCTCCAAAGAAACTTTGTAATTCTTCTTTGTCCTGAACCATTCCATCCATCTGTGGAGCTATTTAACACCAATAGGGCCCAGACAATTAGAGACGAGCCTGCCAGATGTGGGGCACTGAATACAGGTTGATGAAAATAAATGAATGGGGGAAATGGGTGTCATGAATTCTACCCCGAGACGGAAGTGCTTAAGAGTCCTGGCTGTTAGGCTCTATGAAAAAGAGATAGGATGTGACTGCTCTCTATTGTGCTTGTGTATGTGTTTCATAAGATTCACAGGGCTAATTTTTGAAGAAAGCTTGGGATGTATTTCAGAGGTTGCAGAGAAAATTAAGCATGACTCGTGGGAAGAATTGCAGGGAAGGTTGTGATATAATAGTAAAGTTGAATGAGAGAGGAAGGAGTGAACTACCGTTTACAGGACATATGGTTACATGCTCCTCTTTGAGGACTTCTGGAGCAATGGTTTCTGACCATCAAAGACAATGCTGAGTGACTTATTTGGCCCATTCTAGCCCTAAGATTCTAGATCAGTGGGCAGTAAGAAGATGAAAAGCCAGGGTTTTTTTTTTTGTCTAGTTGTAAAAAGTCTATAGAGTGAGCAATGTCGCTCTTATGTCTAAGACAGAGGAAGACAGAATCTAATGACTTTGGAGGTTTGGGTAGAATGAAAATCCTCCAGAAAAAAGAGGAAATAGAACTATGTCTAATAAAGACCTCAGGTGAAAAGCTCATGTATCAAGGATTAGTTTTCCTGAGTCTAATGGACCACTGAATACTTCTATCCACAGTTTGTAGCTGTTATAGTCCCCTCCAGTCTAAGGATTAATAACTATCTGGTAAGATTTTAGTCCATAGTTAGTTCACTCATTTTGGGGGCTGGTGGCAAGGCAACACACCATGGTGGGAGCCTGGGCAAAGGAAAGCATCCACTTAATTGTGTCTGGGAAGCAGAGAGGCAGAGGGGTTATGGTCTGGAAGAACCCCTTTGAGGGCATGACGTCAGAGGCCTTTCTTTCACTAGGCCCTTTCTCCTAATGGAGCTTTCCCCAATTCACACCCCTTTGAATCAGATCTAGAATATACCCTTGATCACTTATGCGGCACAGGATGGAGAAAATCCAGCAGAACCAGTGCTCCAAAGTCAATTAAAATTCTAATAATCTGCAAATTTTACTAAAATTCGAGACTGTGAGATCATGCTAGAGTTTATTTTTTAAATGGACTTTTGTGATTAAGGTTTCCTGAAGTCTAGCTTCTATTGGCTTCCAAGAAAACCTGCCCTGGATGGGGCACAGAATTTAAAAAGCGTCTTATCCTGTAATATACATTAGTCAATCTCATAGATGCCTCAAAAAGATGGTCTATGAGCAATTACAGTAATCACCTCACAGAGTGGAGGCCTTTTTTTCCTGGTGTAATTTGTAAATAGAGTAATATAAATAGGAGATGTTCTAGGGCTGGCAAGTCTCAAAAGTTTTCATCTCTGTCCTCATTTATCTCTGAAAAGGGATTTTTATTTGCAAAGAGATTGTTTGCAAATATAAATAGGTCTCAAACTCCTATGTTAGCTTATTTAATATTAAACACACTATTTACTATTCTTTCAAGGAGGAGAATTAACACATGGTGGGTAAGAGCATGTTATTGCTGTTAAAGACCACGTAGTAGAAAAATTGTAACTGCACTAAAGGAAGTCTTTAAAAATTCATTAAGAAGTAATCAAGCTTTTGCAAACCCATCTGTTATTTGCTGTTATAACATAGTTACTGTAACTTGCCCAATATCCTGTAAAAAGTCACCTTTATGTTTGCTTTTCTTGCTGTGTTCATTGCTCATGTTTTCTGAGACCCAACTTTTCCATGAGTCCTCTTCTTAGCAGAAACACTTGAATTTTCTACCTTTATTGTGTCTGTGAATAACTGTTTTAAAATGTAAGCAGCACTTCTAATTGTGTTTGTGTCATCATTTGTGTTAACAATATTTATTGCTTTACTAGGCCTTGGTTTATAAGTAAAAAATCTCAGAAAACAAAACCAACTGTAGAAACACTTGTATATCAAATATTACAATTTTAAAGTCCCCCACCGTGTGTGTGTGCCCGCGTGTGCGCATGTGTACGCATGTGCATTCCAGTTGAATGTAGATGCCAACAGAGGCTAGATGAGTCAGATTCCTAGAACTGGGCCACAGGTGACTTTGAGTCACTTGATGTGAGTGTTGGAAACTGAACTTGGGTCCTCTGCAGAGCAACATATTGCTCTTTTTAAAATTACATGTCAGAGTCCCCTCAAGCTAAAGTTACAGGTGGTTGTGAGCCACCTTATGTGGATGCCCTCTAGAAGAGTGACATGCTTTCTTAACTATTGAGCCATCTCTCCAGTCCATAAAAAAATTTAAATGATTGAACAGGGGGCTGGAGACATGGCCCAATGGTTAAGTGTAAACCCAAGTTTCTGTTCTGCCTGGTCCCTCGGCCCTTTAGTCCTAAAGAAACACTCAGAGGCTTACAGTAATTATAAACTGTTTGGCTGATGACCCAGGCTTCTTACTGGCTAGATTAATGATTAACCCATTTCTATTAATCAATGTATTTCTCCACGTGGTCTTGGCTTACTGGAGAGCACCCAGACCTGTTACTACTTTGGCAGCTACTTGGCTTCTCTCTGGCAGCTCACTCTCCTCATCCTCTCCCCAGAATTCTTGTCTGGTATCCCTGCCTGGCTACTGCCCAATCAGTGTTTTATTTATCAAACAATAAGAGAAACATATTGGCGGGCCTCACCCTCCCTGGGGAAATGAGGGGATATTGGGGGGGTTGGGGGGAGGGCGCGGGAGGAGGGGAGGGAAACGGAGAGGGACCTGGAACTGACTTGTGAAGCAACCTTGTTTCTTATCTAAATTTAAACTTAAAAATAAATAATAAAAAATAATAAAAAAGAGAAACATATATACAGAAGGACATCCCCCTTCAGTTAAGAGCTCTGACTAGTCTTCCAAAGGACCTGGGTTCGATTTCTAGTACTGTTATGGTGGCTCACGGCCACCTGTAATTCTAGTTTCAGGGGATTCAATGCTCTCTTCTGGCCTCCAAGGGCACCAGAAAAATGTAAAATAAAAATTTCCAAAGACACCAAATAGTGTAAATAATATCTCTATGTTATGCATATATAGGTATATGTATGCTGTTTCACAAGTGTGAAACCTTCCCTCTTGCTCTGTCTCCAGTACAAAATTTACATAAAATGTCTTAAAAATCATTATAGATTCTTAGTTGTTACATGACTAAAACTTTTTTATATTTTATATATTTTTTTAATAAAACTATTTCTCTGAGGAGGATCACTTTTCGAGAGAATGGCATTTTCTATTTACTTTGCAGGGAAAAGAAATCTCTTTATCTTACTTGTCTGGCTAGAAAGCCTGATAACCCTGGTCAAAGAGGCATTGTTCCAAAGGGCCTGCCTAGAATCAGGAAACAAAGGCTGGTTTCACAGCTGCCATTGCAACTCCAGTTCTTATGTGGTGCTGCTCTCTATTTGTTGTCTTTATCACCGGAAGTACGGCCGGCGTGATATGCAGAGATGCCTACAAAAGAGAGAGATATGATCCTTTTGTGATTGCAGTGCTCTTTCCCCTCATGTTTTTAGGTACCTGGCTTAAAGCCAATAGGCATCATGCCTTACATGATTTAATGATGGTGTTGACCGTTTTAAATGCTGATGTGCACTCTCCGTGTTCTTTAGAATTAAAGACCATTTATCAAGATCAAAATAGTTTTTAGATGAATGCTTTATGCTTCTTGCAAATCAGTGCTCAAACTCAGCCATGCATTGGAATCACTCAAGGGACTAATTAAAACATAGACTACCGGACTTCACCTCCAGAGTTACTAATTCAGTAGGGCTGGATGAAGCCCAAGAATTTGCCTTCTTAACAAGTTCCCAGGTGGCAGGGACCCCACTTTGGGAACTACTGATGGAGGTCAGTTGATGATGCATATTTCTTAGAATCAGAGCTGATAGGGGTTGCCATGCCTTTGCAAGAACAGCCCGGGTGCCACTTAGGAAGATGTAGTATCATTGTTAATGCCAGGGGAGCAGTAATGAGGACTTACAGCTTGGAAAGTTCTTAATTGACCATTTTCAACGACAGCAGCCCCATGCCTAGCATTACATAATACTTACTAATGCAAGAAATGATTAGGTAGTTTCTTTGCTCTAAGCCTCTAATATACATATTCATGACTATTTGCTTCTTTCTTTGATAGATGTTTACTGATTAAACTGATTGGGCAACTGAGACTTTTCTTTGTGGGTTTAAATTATGGGACATCAAGAGGATCTAGTAGTTGTCCTCTATATGATCCAAACTTAAGCCACCATGAAGTCTTAATATTAAAAAAATAAATTTCCCTGGCCCCCGCTTTGCTTCATATGAAAATAGGATTTTAAAGACTCAGAACAACAATTTAACTGGAAAGGTAAAATCAGTGCTCCTGATACTGCCAAGTGGCTTTTAGATCCTAGACATATGTTTAATATGTATTTTGTTGATTCTTTTCAATAGAGCATGTTAATGAACATGTCTCAATTTCCCACTGAATGATCAATCTCTCTAAAATACTTATCTCTGCTTATTTATTCTTAAGATTACACTCTTATTTTAGCAGCCCTCTCCAACTCAGAGAAGATAAATCCATGGGATATTTGAAAAGCTTCTGCTTGGAGCATGAATACCCCAGTAATGATATTTGAAGGTTAAATAAAAACAAACAAGTAGACTATAGCTCAGGAATGTCACTGCCCAATAACCAAGAACAATAAAGAAAGACAATGACTATATAATTAAATAATATAGTCTTCACTGTCATCAAGGGAGCTTCAGGACAAATGGCCTAGATTCGGGAATTAGTCCCTCTCAAGGTTGTATGAGTCCATAATGAAATGAATATGGCAGGACACGAGTAAAATAAGATAGTGAGCCGAGGGGAAATTCAATAAGCTGGGTAGCGCCTCGTGTACTCCCTAGCAGTGCACTGTGGGTACGTGCAGGGAATCAAAGATGGACATCCAACTTTTTACTGGACATGAAGAAACCACTGTGCAAGGAGATTCTGTCACCTGTTGGCCACAACGTTAATCAGTCCGAAGCAGCAAGGGAACTGTGGGTTGTGATGACTGAGTCTAATTACCTCAAAGAGTTGCTTTGTCTGTACTGAAAAGCAATAAACAAGTCGGGTTGTTCAGTAGAAATTGATTTGTATTTTCCTAAAGTTAAAAGCTTTAATCAAAATGGGCAATGTTGACATTTTTACCTTTCTAGCACATTTGTATTTTCCTCAATTTGGGGGTGTAGCTCAGTGGTAAATTATTTACTTTACATGTACGAGGCTTTAGGTTCAATCTGAAGTACTCCTTCCTGTTAGCCTGTTAAACAAACAAATAAAACCTTCTTTGATCATTTTACTATGGAACAATAAACAATGTAGGTAGGATCTCCTTCCCTCCCTCCCTCCCTCCCTCCCTCCCTCCCTCCCTCCCTCCCTCCCTCCCTCCCTCCCTCCCTCCCTCCCTCCCTCCCTCCCTCCCTCCCTCCCTCTCTCTCTCTCTCTCTCTCTCTCTCTCTCTCTCTCTCTCTCTCTCTCCAGTGTTTCTTTGTGTAGCCCTGGCTGCCCAGGAACTCACTCTGTAGGCCAACTGGTTTCGAACTCACAGTGATCCATCTTTCTCCGCCTCCTGAGTGCTGGGGTGAAAGGCAGGCACCACCACTACCTGGCACATATAGGCTTTCTAAAACCCCTAAGTGCACTAGGTTTTTACCTGCTCTAAATTAGATAATAAAAACCAGTTGATGTTTGAATCCTATACAGTTAACTATCTTTAAGTTTGTTTGAAGAAAGATGAGGTAAGGTTTATAATAAGGAGGTACTTACTCAACATCATTTTTCAATTCTGTTGCAGAATCTGCCATTATAGTGACTAGTTAATAAAAAGAAAAAAAAACCTGGGTTAGGAGTTCAGTGTGGTGTTGAAATGCTTGCTTAGCATGTATGAGGCCCTGAGTTTGAGCCTCAGCCTGAAAGAAAAACCAGTCACCAGGGCACACAGCTACATAAGAAACAAAATGTCTAAATGTCCCTTCTTTTTCAAGGATGAGATACAGTTGTATGATTTTCAAACATGCCTAAATAGAACTAAGAATGACTTGTCCACAGAAACACTGAAGCTAAGAGCCAAGTTTTTACTGTACTTGCTAAAAGGGGCCTGAAAAAACATACCCTTGGTTCAGTCTTACATCTTACTCTGTAGCCTCCCATCAACAATGCCTCAAGCATGACATTTTGTCATTTGTCTTTGTCACATGCCATGCTGCATTAAACTCCTTAAATTTTATAGGAATAATTGACTAAATTTTAATCTCCTTATCTAAATGTCTTTTTTTATTTAATCCACCAATTTGGATGCTTTTAGTTACAAGCAGCAGAAAATGTAATGCATCATTTCTCGTATTACAGAGAAATACGAGCCACATATTAAGAGAACTGGATTCTTCCTGTCACTACTTTGTACCCTTGCTGTTGGCTTGTCACTGGAGGTGTGTGGAAAGAGGGACATTAAGATGGTTGTAGAGCCCTCAAGCATTCACATCGTTAGGAAGTCTGGTTCAGCCCCCCCCTCCACCTGAGACTTTCTGTTTTAGTTGGTCCCAGGAGGATGTGAGGATGTGCATTTCTGTAGAATTCAGAGGCAGCACTGATGCTGCTGGTAGCAGGACCGCACTAGGAGACCTGGAAGGGCACAGTGGGCATTTGAGGGTCATTCATAATGTTCATGCTGTGCACTTTACCAGTTGCAATACAACACTGAGATCTCTTTTCTCCCCACCCTCCAAAGGGCATTATTGCCATGTTTTGTTGTGAAACTCTTTTAGATAGGAACGCTCCCCATTTCCAGCACCAATGATCCCAGTGGTTGATGTACCAGTTTCATGGAAAAGTTTTGTGTCTGCCTGTTTGAAATGGGCCAGATGAAATCCCAAATGCATACTTCAGCTTGTTCCTAGATTCCCCATTTCACCTTAATAGAGAATATTTGGTAACATTAAATTATTTTTTAATATCTTCCAATATAGGGCATGTTCAGGCATTTCCTCTTATAACCAAAAACCAAAACCAAAGTTATCTGAAGACATATTGTAAAGGCTTCTGGTTTTCCAAAATTTTTGTTTGTATTAGAGAACTTTCTAGCATAAAGGTCTTGACAATTTGCTTGCAGTGCACAAACTTTTCCTTGTCGAGTTTGGATTTGTGTTCCTCCCCGCTTCCTTCCACGCCACATTGCCAAATTCCTCCTTCTAAACCAACTATCATGTAGACCATCTCTTTGATGGCTATAACAGTATGCTTGCATGACTGAGTTGGGCTAGACTTTAGAATTCTCTTAAGCCTTGGGCTATTTTCCATCCTGAGTATCTCCCCTCTACTTTATTATCATAATGGCTCCTTTTCTCATTTATTTTCACAATAGGAAACACAGTAGAGAAAAATGATTTCTGCAGGGGGCATGGAAGGACACAGGGCAAGCTTAGGCAGAGGAAAAAAATATACTGACTTCTAGTTGGAGTAGAAAACTTTGAAGTATAAAATGTACCATTTTGAAAGTATGAGGAAATAAAACCTTTCCCAAAGCTCTCCCAGACCAGAGCACAGCAGGATAAAGGGATTGAAACATTTCCCATATGACAATGAGCAAGCATTTGAATTGGCATACAAACATGATACCAAACTCTCATTTATGACAACCAAGCTATGTAGCTAGATATTTCACAAGTAATGACATGGAGACTGCTTACTTCTTATGAAAGCTCAGCCTGTATCTTAGCTCTTACAACTTAAATTAACCCATTTATATTAATCTGCATTCCAGCACATGGCATTACCTTTCTTCCATCTTACACCTCCGACTTCCTTTCCTTGTCTCCTGGCATCTCCTGCATACCCAGATTCCTTCATCTGGAAATCCTGCCTATACCTCCTGCCCAGCTATTGGCCATTCAGCTTTTTATTACGTCAATCACAGCAACGAACCTTCACATAATGAACAAATATCCAACAACAAAGCTACCAGCAAAGCTTCAGGTAGAAGATACTCACCAATGACTAGTAAATGTCTTTGGGTCCTCTAAGGCCTTTTGCTTGTGGGGTTTTTGTTTGTTGCGTTTTGTTTTTGTGTTTTGGAGACAGAGTTTTTCTGTGTAACAGCTCTGGTTGTCCTGGCACTCCCTGTGTAGATCAGGCTGACCTCCAATGCAGAGAGATTCCCCTGCCCCTGCCTCTGCCTCCCCATGTTGGGATTAGGGGTGTGTGCCAGCATGCCTGGCAGCCTGTTGCTTTTGAACAGCCTCTTCATCACTGTATTGTCCAGGAATGAAGAATATATTCCTTGATCTCTAAGATAATGGCTGAAAATTGTGCTGGAGTTTGTGAAGCATTGGTATGCATGCCATAAAAGTCCAAGGCACGGGGAAGTGGAAATCTCTGATGTACAAGGACGCGCGCATCTCAGCTTTGTTAGTTTCTGAGTTCAAGTGGCTCCTTGGATTCACAATTTCCTCCTTTTTGGATCAAGTAGTCCTACTTAGCCCCTTTGTGGTTTTGTAGAAGAAAGCTACATTTTTACAATCTGAAAAAACCCTAAATTCTTCCTCCATCCCATCTGTTGCTCTATAGCAAAGCTCAGTAGCAAAGTCCAAGGTGAGATTACCTTTATTTAGTCCATAATAAATGCTTATAATGACAATCTTTCAGATTATCATTTAATCAGCAAATCTTCATATATATGAAGACTTGTATAAATATTACAACATAAGTATATATTACAATATAAAATATATTGCAATATAAATATACATTTACACATATATATTACAGTTAAATGTTTTAGGGACAGAGATGAATTATGCGAGTTTGAAAATGAAATAGAATGGTATTTCCTTTCATCTTTTCCCTTATTTGGGGGCTAGGGATTGAGTTAGGGCTTAGTGCAGGTTAGGTTCAGGCCTACCATTGAGCTACCCCACCAGTTCTCAGGGTGGTATCTTTTTAGATGGATGCATTTACATTTCACAACAAATCTTAGGGTTTACAGAACTTGGGATACCGTGTGTTTATTTTACATGAAAATAATGAGAGCTTGAGTTGAATCTTGGGTGGCTACTCACATTCATTTTGTTTTACTTTTTCTTATCCTCAACTGTACCCGTTGATATGTTCATCTCCAACCCTGAAGACTGGCAATACACAGTAGCAATTCCAAACAACACTCTAGGTTCAGATGTGCAGCATGGGGAGTTATAATACTCAGCACAAACTTTAAAAATGAAGAGTAAGAGTCCACTTTAAAGTTCCCCAGTGTCTTCTTTCATGCTCACCAAATGCTTCACATTTTGAATGGCATTAAATGTACACCAGGCTGTGAATTCTGCGGGAGACAGTATTTGCATAGTACTTAGGGATCTGTGTGCAATTAAAAGGTAACTTATATTTGATCCCTCTAACTGCTTCTTCCTTGCTTTCACTGTAGCACTGCAAAAACATGGAATCAAGCAGATTTATAGCAATCCTCGTAGGCAGCTACTGGACACTGATTTCATATAACTTTCTTTTGCAGTGACCCCGTTTACTCACACTCAACACTTCACATGCCCTTTATTGTATAAGACAAATTCTGTTGTGTAGTTGGAGTAGGTTAACTTACAAAAGGGCTGTATCTTTGTGTCTTTTAGAAAAATGTTCAACCTTGAGGCTGTCAGTAATAAACTTGTTTTGAAAGTGTGAAAACTTACTGAATTCCATGTCTGGCTGAGCATGGTGGCATATGATTATAATTCCAGACTAGGTAGGTAGACACAGGAGCTTTCTGGCCAGTAAGTCTAGGTTGACTGAGTAGCCAAGGTGTTTCTAAGAATGGCATCCAAGGTTGACTCCTACACACACACACACACACACACACACACACACACACACACACACACAACACACACACACACACAACACACATACACACTCATGAGCATCTATACATACGTATAAAATGTGCTCAGTAAGATTTTAGACCAATTGTATGGTGAACTAGTGAACTTCAGGACACATAGTTTTGCCCACTTAATTTTCCTAGGAAGTAGACAAACCACTAAATTTTGATTTTTTTAGTTTAGATGATGTTAAAAAAGACATTAATTAAAGGAATATTTAAAGATAGCTTTTCTTAAGTTTTAGTTTTAAAATCCACATTCCTTTATCAACTGGGTTTATGAAAATGACAGCTGTCTTGTATGTCCTTTATTGGGTAAAAACATTAGTTGGACTAGGCTAACTTATAAAATGTGTTTTGTCTTCATATATTTCTAGATCTTCAATTTTCATCACAATTTAACATTAAAACAAGGTGGCTCATATCCTGTGTAGAATAAGGCGCAGTATGAATGATGGAGCATCATGACCATTCTTCCCCGACTGTAATATTTCCCCCAAGAAAAGAAGCCTCACCATTATCCCCTTATCTCTCATATGACCATGTTTCTTTCTCTTCTTATTTCACTTTCTTTTTTTCTTGTTAGTGCTGAAGCTTGAACCAAGTGCCCCATCACTTTGAGGAACATTCTCAGCTCCTGTAACCACTTGTGCACAAGATGCAGTTAATTGTGTAGGTTAAATATTTAAACTCAAACTTTAGGAGGTTGATTTCTAAGGGAACTTTAGGGGTTGACTGTAGCAGGCTTTCTTTTGACCTCCAACCAGCTCCCAAGTCATGACATGGAGACTTATTATTAGTTTGGAATGCTCTGCCTTATGCTTATCCCACTAATTCTTATAACTTAGCTTAACCTGTTTCTCTTCAAGTATGTTTTGCCCTGGGGCTTTTTACCTTTCTTTCCTTCTGTAGGTCCTGCTCCATGTCTGTCTGGTTGGTGGCTGCCTGATTGTCTGTCTGGCCCAGGCATCTCCCTTTTTTTTTCTCCCCCATTCTCTCTTGTCTTCTCTTTCATTCTCTTCTCACTCCATCTTAGATTTCTCTTCCTACTTGTTCTCTCTGCCTGCCAGCCCCACCTATCCCTCTACTGACTAGCTATTGGCTGCTAGGGTTTTCTATTAGACCAAGTAGGTGCCTTAGCCAGGCAAGGTAAAAAAAAAAAGCAACACATGTTTATATAATTAAACAAATGCAGCATGAACAAGTGTGAAACACTTTACATAGTCACAGTAATATTCCACAACATAAAAAATGTATCATGTCTTTACATAGTTAAAGTAATATTCCATAAGAGTTGACTGCAAGGAAACTTAGACATATTATACTACATGGCCATCAGTGTCATTATAGCTAGACTGCTTGTTTTTTCATGTAACAAGCTTACACTGTGACAATGCTTGTACTTTATATTTTGTCTTCATTTATTTTTTCAGTTCCTTCCACAATTTTCTTGTATAAGGGGAAAAGAGTACTTATAATATGCACATGCATTTTATGTTTACAGTTCACTGTATTTTAGTCTCTTTATCACTTGCTGAGGTGGGAATAGTTATGCATCAACTTACAGAAGGGTCCAGCATGCTCTGAGGAGGCAATGAGAGAAGAGAACATTTCTGAAGTCTGCAACCCGCTGCTCTGGCTTTATTGCTAAAAGCTTCAATATATAAATTATATGCATATACATAAGAAATGCTAACTTTCAGTCATAGGAAGTAGAAGTCGATGCTACTGATGTTGGCTAATTTTGGGGGTAGTGATCTGGTACAGAATAGAAAATCCATTCTGTAGAGATATATGGATGAAACTCAAGGATAAGCTAAAAAAAGTTGAACCAATTATTTCCAGGCTCTTGGCTGTCTCCAAGCCTAAGCATTTGAGAGATGACTGACAGGGAATTAAAGATGAAATATATAACAATTCTTTGCCAGTATTATCCATAACCAATTTTTTTGGCTTAGTAACAGGATAACGGCTTTCACATTTTAGTAAAACTTTAGTGTAAGCTACTGTCTGTAAATATTTGAGGGTAATTATGGGTTCAGTTGCTTTGGATAAAATGTTTCAGGTCTGGGTATGTAAATGTAGCTTAGTGCTAAGATACTTGCCTAGCGGTGCAGGCAACCCTATGTTCCATCTCAAGCAACACACACACTTGCAGGTCACAGTCTATCACTGAGGAAAGCTAAGGCAGGAACCTGGAGCAGAGACTGAAGTAGAGCCCCTGGAGGAACACTGCTTACCGGCTTGCTTCTCATGGCTCTCTCAGCTTGCCATTTTTATAACCCAGTACAATTTGCCCATGGGTGGCATTCTCCACAGTGACCCAGGCACTCCCGCACCAATGAATCAAGAAAATGTCCCACAGGCTTGCCTATAGGGCATCCTGATGGAAACATTTTCCCAGTTGAGGTTCCATCTTACCAGATGACACTAGCTGTGTCAAGCTGACAAAGAACCAGCACAACAATGAAATTACTTTTTCCATATATGAATTCAAGTGTTTATATCATGTAATCTACCCTACATTTTAAAATTATGATTGTTACATCATTAAGGTCCTACAAGTACTAATCAATGTTACAAACCGATTTTAAAACTGAGCATAAGACAGCAAATTTATTATAGAAACCACAAGCTTATACCACTGGGCATGCGAACATAGTTAAGCATACAAACCAAAGTGGAGATAAGAAGCTATTCTAGAGTTCTAGATTAGCCTGGCCTTGAATTTGTGTCCATGAACCACTATGCCTGGGAAAAGGTCATTTTTCAAAATAAAAGCTGTGTGTGTGTGTGTGTGTGTGTGTGTGTGTAAATTTCAAGGCTGTTCGAATTTCTGATCCTAAATTTACCAGACACCTAACACAGGAAGACAGACAACTTGGTTCATTATACTGAACATGTGGTGGGAAACATGTTACCGGTCCCAACATGAAAGAGCAACTTTGTAATGCTTACTTAACGATGGGAGAGAAACTCTTGTAACATGTAGGGGTTTTTTCTTTGGAGCAGATTGAGTGGGTGGGTGGGGTCTTCGGAGGAGGCTCAAGCCTGGCCACAGGTGTAGCTCTGCCCTCTAGTGGATATAGGTGAGAGATTGGTTCACTTGCTACCTGTGCTCACCAAGCTTAGCAATTATTCTTCAAAAATCACTTACTAGGGTCTTTGCCTGTGTGAGGTGCTAAGTGAAAGGCTGGCTTGGAAAACGAGAGCGGCCACGGTAATACCGGTTCTTCATCTTCGATGGTAGGGTTAGCTGCTATTCCGGTTGCATACACTCGAGCTGTCACTCTGAACCTCGCCCTTTCATGACACACGGGCTGCGGAGCTCACTCCTGCCCCGGACAGAATTTTGGGGCAGGAGTGGCCCTCGCAAGAGCAGCGAAACAGCCAGAGCCGGTGTTTGCAAGGGAGGGTAAGACGCGAGGAAGGCCGCTGACAGGAACACCAGCTTCTCACTGCGTCGTCCGAGCAGATTGTGACGGCCGCGGGACGGGAGAGACTTCCAGGGCTGTGTCTAGATTGCCCAGGCGACTGTGGGACACGGCCATGACCGTGTCTGTCCCTAAGTCTCGATCCCACGGCCGCCTCGAGGGGATGTGTGAGCGGAGAGGGGGGATGGGCGTGCTCCCGCCCCTTGCACCCGGAGGGTGTGTAGTAAGCGGGCCGACCCTATCCCAAGAGCTCGGGAGGAGCCACGGGCTCCGCGCCCTCTCCCACAAAGCTTCTCCATCCTGGGACAACGTCCATTACGGCCCGCAGGCTCGGCCTCACTGCACTTCCGCTTCCCCGCGCAGCGAGCCGGAGTGCGCCTGCGCGCGCGCCTCTCCCGGCGGAAGTGGTAGCGACAAAGCTCGGTGGGCGGCGGGCCGGGTAGTGCAGGGCGCGCCGGGTGGCGGGCGGCGGGGAGGGGCGGAGCGCAGGAGGCGGAGGCGGGAGCAGAGCTGCCCGGCCGTGCGCGGAGACGCGCGGAGCCGACGGGCCGAGCTTGACGGGCCCTTCGCCGCTCCTCCTCTCCCCTCCCCGCCGCTGTCCTGCTCGATCTCCGTTCCTCGGGACGCGCGGCTGGGCTCCGTGTGGCGCTGTCCGCGCCGCCAGCAGCGCCCGTTCGCCCGAGGCGCGTGGGGCGCCCCCGCAGCCCGGCGAGTGAGTCCTCGCAGCCTGGACGGGGCGGGGGGGGGGACGTCTGGGGTGTCGGGAAGGATTCCGGGTATCCACTCCTGCCCCTATTTCCAGAAACTTCCCGGTCGGGAGGGAAGGGGGCGTCCGGGGGAACGCTTCTTGCCGGGAGGGCGCCTCTCGGGCGCCGCCCGGCTGGTGTGAGGCGCTGGCGCTGCGGGCGGCGCGGGGCGGGGGGTAGGGAGGCGGCGGCTGGGCGGGGGTCGCCCCGCTCCTCTCCCCTCTCGTCAGCTCCGCTTCTCCTGGTTTCTCTTGCAGATGCTGCGGCTAGGGGTGGTGGGAGCAGCCGTGGGACGTGTGGCCGGGAGCGGGGGTGACAGCCTGGGATTCCGGGGTCTTCTCTTCCTTGTCCTCCTCCTCTCCTCTCTATTCCCAGTGTGGCCGTGGCTGACACTAAAGACTTTGTAGCCATCAACCCGGGTGCAGTTTCGATGGAAAATGAAGGTAAAGGCCCCTGGCAAGATGGGTTTGCAACGCAGAGTTGAGGGTGTGGTGGTTTGCTTTTTAAGTTGTCTGTCTTTTTCTATCTTTTTATTCGTGATTTTATTTAATTGATCCCCCCCCCTTTGCATGTGAAATGTCTGAGGATTGCGTGCCTAAGGGCATTTAGCTTTTGTTTTGGTAACATGGATAGTGCAGGGATTAAGGTTGTGACAGCTTGGTTCTGCTTTTCTGGGAAATTATTATTTAGCATAGGAAATGGAACGGAAGTTTTCATTTGCGATAGCATCTGTGCACGTCCTTACAGCTCTTTAAAAGGAATCAGAGGATGGAAAGTGGAAACGGGAAGAGAAGGCTATGGATCTTATCTCTGTATATTTGCATAGTAGGCTTTGTGAAAGACGTGCGACTGAATTCAGTTGTAAAAAGATTTTTAAGATAAATTCGATAAATTCTAGCTTTGGAAAAAAGCGGTATTTTTAAAATTCATAGGAAAAAAACAAAACAAAACAAGAAACAAACCCTTGAATTTAATGAAATCTTCCGAGACAGTTTCCCTTGTTAAAGTTCTGCCCTATTTCAAAACATCTTCAGGAGACTGACTGTGGAGGGAACCTGTTTGTCCCTATTTCACATTGTGTTTGAACACATCAGCTGTTACATGTTACTCAACTACTTTGGCCTCATTCAAATAATGCTTTTCATATATGCCACTGATAGTTTTAAAAAATATCAAATAACTGAGCAAATGATTTTTCTTCCCTCTTGAACCAACCATGTTTATTGTTTGGACCGACTTCTGGCTGGTGTGTGATCATCTCTTTTTTTCAACGCTTCTTTTTTGACTAGGCTGCAAGATGCTAGGCAAGATACTGGATAAATGATTGCTTTTTTTTTTTTAACCCCCTCCGTTGAATCTTTTGGTTTTAAGATCTTTATCTGTTACACCAACTGCAGTTAGACTGATATGTTTTTCCATTGTTGAGGATGTAGGCTTGATTGGCTAAGTAGGACTTGGAATTTTAAAGTAGGTGTTTCTTGTGGATGCGGTAATCTGTTGTGCTATTGCAGAACTGTGGCATGTGTAGGAAAAGTGATGAGAGGCATCGTCTTGCTGCGTTTCATTCTAGGTGGCTAATTGGTGGAAGGCATTTTCTGACAAACCGAACTGCACAGGAGTTACATTAATTGGGTCTTGAAGAAAGCAGTTATATTTTTTTTTTCTGGTGGTTTGGAAAATTGTTTTTCTAAGCCACTTTCCTCTTTTATAGATTTAAGAAAGGCAGATTTGCTTTTCAAAAAACAATATTAAGTCCATTCATGTAGTAGTTTCTATTTAAAAATCTCTGCAAGTAAAACCTCAAAGTTATTGTACATCTGTGAGCTATTTTCAGAGTGTTACCAGATTTAGGAGGGTAGCCTGGAGTAGGTGGATAGCTGGCTGTTGGTTTTCTTTCTTGGTGCCTTAGGAATCAGAGCATGAGTAATAAAGCTAGCCAGCACTCATCTGCTGAGGTAGGAGGGGGTGGTTGTTAGATAGGAGTGTGTCTGTATTTTATGACCACACAAGGATGATGTAGCTTCTTAGTAAAAGATTATAGTGTCTTAAAACTTGAGGGGTTTTCTGCCCCATTATTTTGATCATGAAGAGACTATTTTTTGTTAATTTCTTACTATGCTAATCTCTTAACATGTTTTTTCCTATTTACAAATTTTTAAGGAAAAACTTGTAGATAGCTTAGAATCTTCAAGAGCAATTGACTATTTTAAGATGGATTTGTATTTCTTTTCATTTATAGTTTGTACCTTCTTCTGACCTGATTTTAACAGCTTAGAAGTGTGGATGCAAAATGCTAAATTCTTGCAAAACATTTCACCTTGCTGAGTTTCATCTATAAACTGGAATTGAAAATGTGCAGCCCACAAAGTTGAGATGATGAGAAGCACTGCAGACATTCTTTTGGGAGAGGGAAATGCTGGAATTTAAGAGCATGGCTTGTAGACTTAGGCATCTCACTGTGAATAGTGCATCTCCATATTATTTGCCCTGCTACAGATTATTAAAGCTTTTGCTCTCATTTCTTCATGTGTAAAAGTAAGGGTAATGGTAGCTACCTTATGAGGTTGTTGTGAGTGCTCGAAACAGCATCTGGCATACAATAGATAATAAATGTTAATTGTAAATAGCATTGTTCACTATTTGATGCATACATATTATTATGTCACCTGTCATTAATGTCATGACAGTTCATTATTGGAACCGGGAATAGTTGTGACCAAAATGCTCAGGATGCAGTTACTAGTTCAATGTGGGGGTCGGTTTAAGTAATTTTCTGTAGTAGGAGGGAGGTAGTGTCCTTCCTCCCCCCTAGATCTTGACACTCTACTTCTGAGCTGTCTCAGATTCTAAGTTTAATTTTCTGTGAATGGGATATTGCTGTCTTGGAGGGTTGGTATAGGGAGTGAAGCCAGAGGGATGGTTGACACAGCTCTAATGAGTGATTAAGCCATGCTACTGTTGTCCAGGAAGAGTTTGCCAGTAGGTAGGCAGATAAATTACACTGTTAGGTGTGAACTGTGTAGGGTTATCTGATAGTGGCTTTCTAGAGCATCTGCCTGGAAAGAATTCTTAGCAGTCATGTTTACAGTGGTTACATCCCAGGAGGAAATGGCTTTATCCATTTACTTCAAACTTCAACAGTAGAGGCATTTTCTTTAGCACTAGATTTTGATTCTTCTAGACTTTTTTTTTCCCAGGGCCCACTTAAACTTTGTCAGGAAAGCTTGACCTAATTTTAGCCATAGTCTCCTGGATGCTTCATGAATACCTCCTACTAGTTAGTAGGAACATTTGTAGCCTTACTTTTTTTTTTTTTTCTGGAATTTCAAAGATTAGTCCTAGACAACCAGTTGTTGGGATTTTCATCCAAATCTTTTGAAACTCCTTTTAGCATGCTTATTACAAGTCTAAACTAACAAGATAACTAATACTTAGTAATCTGAGATACACATATATACAGCCTTTTGACTTTTTTAAAAGTTGTTGATAGTTTAAAGGATGGCTTATTAGTGAAGACATTTCTAGCTAGAGGGTTTTGCAGAATTTTTTTTCCTTCCTGTTAACTGCTTTAGTCTTTGTAACAAATTTGGCCTTTTCTACAGAGCTGGCTGTTTAAAGTCTCTTAATGCTGCTTAAATGTATCTTTCACTCTTGATTAGCAATATAATAACTTCAGGGTTTCAGGAAATGCTACCCAGATAGGAAATAACCCTCTATCTTTTTTTTTTAATGTCATTTGTATTTATACTTTTCAAGGTAGTTTATCGCTCAATTTCAAATAGTTCATCATCTTGGAATGTCTCAAGAAAGTACTTTGTTAGGACAGCTGGAGGGACTCTAGGTTAGAAAGAACAGTAGGAAAAGAAACCACTTTAGTTTTATTCCAACTTATAAAAGTATCCTAAGTTTCTAGGTGTGAAAAATGTAGTTTATTTTATTTGCAGTATTGTTTCTAAGATATTCTTAATTGGTATTTGAAAAAGGCCCAAAACCAAGAGTGTGTCTAAAAGTATTTTTTAAAGAGCAAAGACTGTTGCAGGGTTTGCAAGCAGTAGGCTCAATAGCCTTTAGAACTTTTATTTGTGTGTGTGTGTGTGTGTGTGTGTGTGTGTGTGTGTGTGCAGGTTAGAGGACAACTTGGGAGTTTTTTTTATCTCCATCATGTAGGTTCTGTAGATTAAATTTAGGTTGTCAGACTTGCTGGCAAGTGTCTTCAGCAACAGAGCTATCCCACCAGACTAGCCTTTGACAGTCGAATCCTAAATACTTGATTTATCTTAGTGTTTTATGTGTTCTCAAGCTTGTGAAATCGGCACTCTAGGAACTAAAACATCTTCTGAGCCCTGGTTTGTCTTACTATTCTGACCATTTAGTGTCAACAGAATGTATCTTTGTTAATTGAAACATAATGAAACAAAATAGTTGTCTGGAGGACATACACATGAGGTCCAAAGCTGGTTCTCTTTGGAGATTTTACTTAACCAGGATGTGTTTACAAGGTTGAATTTTGTTTTAAAGGTGGCAAGAATACCTTATCTTGCTGGTAAAGTAAGTTAGGGTTATTTTTAAATTGCACCTTTATTACAGGTAATATCTTAAAGGTAGCTTACAATTAGTTCAAGAAAGGCCTGAATTTATTTACCTTGTTAAAAGATAGTCTTTTTGTAGTAATTTCAGGCATCCGTCATGACAAGGTCCTTTCTCCTTTTTTTGCGGGCAGGTGTTGGTAAAAGTAAAACTGGTGAGTGAGCTTTCAGGCTAGTACCATAATTTCACAAAAGAAATAATTTCTTTATCATTTAGATTAAGTTGATACATTTCTTTATGAATTTTAATGGCTAAGGTTTATATTCACTTACTAATTTGTATGTATTTGTTAACTGTATTCTTTGTTTCTGGCTTTAAGTTGCTGTTGACAAGAACATAAATTTTAGTATATAAGTAATTGCTCAGATGGTGTTGATTTAGGCTCCTTGGGCTAAACTTGTGATGCATTTGGAAAAATGTGAATTGTGCAAGGTTAGTATTTGGACAGTGATTAAAGGGGTCAGGGTGGCTGTCTCTTCTGGCTTTCTTTTTCTGCTACAGGTAGTAGAGAATTTAGGAGAAGGACTTATGTACTATACCTGTTAATTGTAATTGCTTAAGTAAAGCCTTTTGGATTTGACATGTGGTAATTTTGTAAATGTGCTGACTTAGGTTGTGTGTCACTGTTCCTAGGATTCACGAAGTAATCTAACATGGCATTTTTAGAATGACTTGATGGCTTTCTTGTAAAAAGTTATTTGTACTTATTCGAGTAGAATTAGACTGTAATAAATGTTCTGCTGTTTCATGTTCAGCCCTTTATAGAAAAACAGAAATAACCACCAAAGTGGAACATGAACAATTTTCAAAATTGTATGTGGTGTCTTCAACAGCTCATTGCCTTTGGGCCAGGCTG